AGCACACAAAGTGTTCTTACATGTATGTCTAAATTTATTTTAAATTAACTAAAACAACCCCCCTTCCCCGCACCCCTCTCTTCCATTAGTATTTCTTCCTCCGTCTACCAGAGGCGCCCTTGTATAATAAAATTGAAATGTATTATAAGTTGCCTATCTATTTAATAGTATAAGTCTTTTATCTATGGCATTGTTTATGCATTGTTTAATGACAAAGTTCTGTCAGGTTCAAACGTCGCCGTATTTCCTGCAAAGATTTGTGAAAAAATGAGTGATAATGACGAGTCTTTGGATATTCAACAAGCTGCTGAAACTGCGCTATCCACGTTAGTGCCCGAGAAGTCGAAAAATTTATACGAGACTACCTACAACAACTTTGAAACCTGGGTCAAAGAAAAACATGTTGAGAATTTCACAGAAAAGGTATTGCTAGCCTATTTCCTGAAGTTATCCACTACCTTAAAGCCGTCAACTCTGTGGAGTAAATATTCGATGCTCCGCACCATCATTTACCTGAACAGAAACGTAGATATTAGCAAATTCACAAACCTTTATTGCATTTTTAAAAAGAAAAGCTTCCAGATATCAGGCAAAGAAATCAAAAGTATTTACAAAACTGGAAATAAAACGCTTTATGAAAGAAGCCGATGACAAAGAATTCCTGTTAGCTAAAGTTCTCTTAATCGTTGGAGTATTTGGAGCATGTAGGAGGGAAGAAATAACTTTTTTTACCGTAGATGCCATTAAAGATTGTCAGTCACATACATTTCAACTATTGTGATGTTATATATGGACCATGTCTGGAAAAAATTGACATTAACAGAATAGAGAAGCTTCAGAAAAGCTGCCTTCGTTTTATTTATGGTATAAGAAAATATGATCCCATTTCGCATAAGTTAAAAGAAGCTAAGTGGTTGAATATGGAAAACAGACGTAAGATGCATTCGTTGGTTTTATTTTATGGAGTTATTTCTAAGAAGTGTCCTCCATACTTGGTGAATAAAATAAAATTCAGAACAGATGTGCACAACTTAAACCTTAGATTTAAGGGACTTATTACTCCACCACCTCACAAAACAGCATTGTTCACTAGATGTTTCTCATTTAATATTTCCAAGCTTTACAACTGTTTACCAGCAGAAATGATGAACCTTCAGAATGCTGCATTTAAAAATAAACTTAAAAAACATTTTCTGGATAGTTCTCTTCCCTCTTAGTTTTTTTTTACCTCATAATTATTTTAGTATAAAATACTTTTCTTTGTGTTTATTTCTTTCAATTTCATACTAAATTTTCTTAGTCATAGGATTAGTATATAATTTACTTATATTTGTAGATAAGTTACAGTAAAATAATTTAGCTACATAACACACATTTATACTAGCTGATATTGTGATCTGACAGGAACTGAATTTAAACCAATTTTAATTGTCTTCAGTTCCTTTTTTGCATGTTTTTTTTTATTGTTATTTTTTATTTGTAAATTACATTTGTTGTAAATGATATTCATGCAAAATAAAGTATTATTATTATTATTATTTCTTATTAGTGTGAAGATTCCGAATACAAAAACTCATTTTCCAAGAGTGTTTACGATTGCTGTGGGACCAATAGATGGTATCAATTTCTTACATGTATTTCGTAGGTACGCAAAACTTCGACCCCTCAATGTGACACATCAGCGATTTTTCTTGACTTATCGAAAAAATCAATGCTGTACCCTGCCAGTTGGAATCAATACAACTGGGGGTATGCCAAAAAAGATAGCGGAATTTCTGGGACTCTTCAACGCCATTGAATACACTGGTCATTGTTTTCGGCGCAGCTCTGCAACAATGCTGGCAGATTCAGGAGCGAACATAACAGTTTTAAAGCGACATGGAGGTTGGCGATCAAGCTCGGTTGCTGAAGGTTACATTGAAAATTCAATTGAACAGAAAACCGAAATATTAAAATGAATCATGGGACAAAAAGATACGCCAAATAAGAAATTAAAAGCAGTTCACGTAGAAGCAGAAGCTACCAGCATTGCCGGTACAAGAAATTTACTTATTCCGACTCCTACAATTTGCATTTCTCTTAGAAACGAAAAGTTGGATGCCTCTTGTATTCACTTTAATAATTTAAATAATTGTACCTTTAAGATTTATAATAAATAAATATTTTCATTGTTTCTAACGCTTCATTATTTTTTTTTCTACGACTAGCCTAGAAAATGCAGTTTGACACACGGAAAACTCGATCTGAAACTGGCGTTTTGCAAACTGTCGTGTGCTAAGGATTTAACGCACGACATGCGTCATTTTGCACACGCCAAGTGCCAATTTTAACATGTTTAACCTCCAATGTTTAGCTGAAACGCCAAACACAACGCAGCGGTCAGAAAAGTCGCAAATTATTTCACAAAACTGGCAAAAACTGAGTGAGTCTGCTGCTAATTTGTAGTCGTAGAAAAAATAGCTTAAAAAACTCGTTCGAAAACTTGTGTAAAACGAGTGTAGAAAGCTACACTCGTTCTTGCCTGCGGCTCGAGCCAACAAACTGTCGAACTCGTGTGCAAAACGTCGTTTTCGAAACTCGTTGTTTAATATACTATTTAGGCACTAGTGCCAGAAATAAAAAAATATTAATTATTAATTCTTTTATTTCAGTTCGAGGTTTCCTTTAAAGCAGAAAAAAATTAACAACTTAGCCCTCTTTCAATGCCAACACTAGAAGCTTGCCGTGAAACTATCATGCATCGACAACGTTGGAAAGCATTTGACGCATAGTTTGGAGCCGGCTTTAGGATACCCGCGGCACTATTTACAATGCCAAGTCAACGAACGTGTAATTATGATTTTTTGTTTTTCAGCAGAGGATTCTCTCGGTGGTACCCTCTAGGGGGCGTGGTCGATACTACGATTAACGATGGTACTGGTAGACAAGGACTTTAAATTTATTTTTGTGTATATAAGTCCGAATCTTTGCCGAATTCGTCCCTTATTTATCTCGTTTTTTGACCGAGATCTTCCGTATGCTTCATATCTAACTATTTTACAGCTTTTATCTTGAATTGGCAATAATTTCACTGTTAATTTAAGTTCAGACACAACGTCCTTCTAGATTTACTACCTCTGAACAAAAACCAACACTAGAATACATAATAAATAACATAAAATAAGCCCATAAAAGCATAACAAATCCGCAATTTCAATTTCAATGTCTGGTAACAATCAATATATTTCGTTTATTTCGTATTAGTCGCATAACAATCAATATATTTCGTATAAGAAACACTTACACTGTGACATAATATGACTGTGATTAAAAATATAACATATAAATATTAAAAATACCTATTTAATTTATTAAAAGTTATTTTTTATACAAGACGATAATGAAATTTTATCGTGGTGTATAAAACAATATTTTTTTCCATAGCGAGTTACTTTTTAAAAAATATTGAGAAATTATTATTTCAAGGAATTTATTACGAATAAAAAAAATATTGTGGTGGATTGGCGTTGGTTTCTATGTAATTTGACAAATAAATAAAGCTGTCTCTTTAGTTATCAGTTTTGAGTCAATCTTTTTAATTCTCTGTCGTGTCGATTGCTGATTGAATTGGAGCCAGAAATGGCTCAAAACTAAATAAGTAAATTACCACCAGATATTCAGGCTGAGGCGACAAACGCCATATCCAAACTACTTCCATTTAAATCCCGAATAACTTATGAAAAGGAATACAAAAGTTTTCAAAAATGGAAGCAATTAAAAAACGTGCGAGAAGAAATAAAGTTTTTAACCTATCCTCGCTGTTAAAGTATCATTTAATCTACCCTTGCTATTAAAGTACTATTTTATCTACTATTTTTGATAGATATAAAACAATTTTAACAGTTGCTATGGAAAAAAATTATCTTTTAATATAGAAGACCAAAATAAAACAAGTTTATTTTTTTATCGACTGTTTTAGAACTTTCTGCCACGCAATTAAAACAGCTTTCCACAGAACCCAAGTCGGTTTTCTAGCACGCAACGACAAAATCCATCGAGCTTGTGTCCCTATAAGTGCCGTACTAACTAGATACCCGCCGGCACCGACTCCAACAATGGCCCGTCGTACCATATACGTCACTTCTCTCTAATCTCCCTGGGAAATTCTTCATAATTAAGCCTAATAAGACGATTTAAAAGGCGTCAGACAAAGAAACGGATAATTTCACATCGTCTTTATTATCAGGTACCGGTACCACCTTGTCGGCGAGAAAAAAATAAATTAGCCAAATTCTGCGAAGAAAAATAAAGATAAAAGAAGGTGGACATTTTTCGGTACACGGTCAAGACAAGCAAGACAAGTACGTAGGCGTTGGGAGAAAAGGCAGTACCGCGGGCAGTACCTTTCCCGCGGGTTCGGTGGGCGTTGTCGGTTGTTAAAAAGAAATTTGCCGCGTCACCCTGGAATGAACGGAACCAAAAGGAATAAAACCCTGGTGATCGGCGAGTACCAAACAACAGAATGGAACCACGGGGTACGAAGAGTTATATAAAAAGAAAGGTACAAAGTGAGATGGGAACTTCCATGGTAAAAGTAATTAGGTAATAGTGGTAATTACCAATTTTATACCTTCCGGACTCCCCTGTATCTTCGAGGTGGATAAAGTATCTATCCACCTCGGATAGATACTGGATTGGATACTGGATATAATGGATATAATAGATACTGGATACTGGATACCGCGGATAAACCAATCTATTTATTTTACTAAAAAAAGTTTCTAATAATTTTTAAGTTAACTATGGATGGGATTAAATATAATTCCGTCATGCGTCGTGTCTTATTGTTTTTAACCAGTTTTATTGGTTTATATAATAAATTACAGATCGTATTTCAATTTTATTGGTTTGACGGAACGATGAACGACAAACGGACGCCGACGCGTATGAACTCGCCTTTAGATTTTTGTCATTTTTGACGCTTGTCAAAGTCTTGCTAAATTATTTTTCAGAATCTGGTCCCAGGACATCAGTTGATTATTTACTATGTAGTCCGCCCCTGGCGCGTGTGCTCACACATGTTTAAAGTATTTTCTCCTGTCGCTCCTTTCCTCCGCGATCCGTCTTCATTCGTTTCTGTGTGCATGTGCAGTGCGGAAGTGTCGCTTTTTACGCTTGTTTACGAACGCCGAAATTAAAACAGTAAGTAATTATTTCTATAATCTTACAATACAAGCTTGTTACCTTGTCGTTGATCGAGATTATCATCCTCCATCAACGCTTTTCTCTTTTCTCTTTAGCTAGATATTATGGGGAAAACAAAGGGAAAAAGCCGGTCTTCTTCTCGAGAACGCCATGTTTCACGAAAGGAGCGTTTGAGAAGGCTAGAGAGACTTGAGAAAGAGAGGGCAACATCACGAGCGAGGTCGCGATCGCCACGGCGTCAGCGGCGTTCCCCCTCTCAGTCATCCGGTCGCGCGCGCTCGTTCAGCGGGCGCGTGGGCCGTACTGGCCCAATAGCCAACACCCTCGGTGGATTCAAGGTCAAGCAGTCGTCATCATCGACGGTCTGGTTCTGGTTATGACGATCGCAGTCCGCGCGGCTCGGCGTCTTATTATGGTACACCAGATAGGCGGCGATTGCCTAGCGTAGACCATAGTCTGTACGGCGTGGCTACCAATGCAATGGATGTGGATCGCGGTCCGGGCGGCGCGACAAACATTCTGAATGATAAGAATAATTTAAACGATCAAACGGCTGGCACCCCTCCGTTAATTATTCATAACGACGTCTCCTTGCCGACTGAAGTTAGACCTACTCGGTGAGGATCCGGATAAAACTAAGGCTAATGGGTACACTTTGCACCAGGCCCTTACAGCTAGGTGGTCAAAAATCTTAACATCCGGCCTATCTAAGGAGAAAAAGGAACAATTGATGAATACTAGCTGCGTCCCAGAAAACTGTAAGGCCTTGATACCTCCCTTGGTCGACAAGGAAATTTTACCTTGTCTTTCGGCGGCTTATATAAAAAGGGATTCATGTCATGCTGATTTTCAAGACCAGCTGGGCAGGGGCCTGTCCTCATTGGGCAAAGGTCTTAACGCGGTTTTGGAAGAGGGTCAGAATATTTCGCCAACTATGCGTGAAAAGATTTTGCCATTCCTTACGGAAGCTGGACAAATTTTTTCAAATTTATTTTTTTTGACATTTCTCAGACTAGACGTACCTTAATTTTACCCATGTTAAGCAAATCACTAAAGGATGTAGTAGAGACTAGGGTTCCAGGGGTGTACTTGTTTGGGAACGAATTAGCTGAAAATGTCAAGGAAGCTAAAACATTGGAAAGAACAGCCAATGACCTTCGTCCCCAAACGCAGAGTTTTACCTTTTCCGCTTCTGAAAATGGGGGAGGGGTGGCTACCGGCCGATCACAGACATCCAGACCATACACCAGCCGAGGTGGCTCATCCGGTCCTTTAAACCGGGGGCGTCCGGTCCGTCCAAGCGGGAAACGAGACCACACAAAGGGCATGCCCCGACACGGAGGAGTCAATACCCTCATCAGAAGCGCTGATTTCAGAGGCTAAAGTTATTTTATAAACAATGGCAAAATATCACCCAAAACCCATTTTTCTTGTCTTGCATAAGTGGTTATGTCATTCCATTTAAATGTACTCCCTCACAGTTTTTGTCTCCGAAATCAAGGCATCTTTCTTCAGAGGAACGAAGCCAAATGGCTATGGCAATTGAAGAATTGCTTAGTAAGGGTGCAGTCATTAAATACCAGCCCCAGCCAATCCAATTTTTATCTGGTATTTTTCTTACCAATAAATCTAATGGTGAAAAACGGTTTATATTAAACCTAAAACAACTAAATCAATTTATAACACCTCCTAACTTTAAGATGGAAGACTATCGCACAGCCAAAAAAAAAATGATTTCTAGTAATAGCTTTATGACTACAATAGATATAAAAGACGCTTATTTCTTAATTTCTATAGATAAGCGACATAGAAAATATTTAAGATTTAGTTTTGAGGGAGATTTGTTTGAATTTGGTTGTTTGCCATTTGGTTTGTCAGTAGCACCATTCTGTTTCACAAAGCTTTTAAAACCAGTCATTAAGATTCTTAGAGAACATGGAATTTTTTGTGTCAATTATCTTGACGATTTTTTAATTATAGCCGATACTTTTGATGATTGTCAAAAGAACACTGTATTTACAGTTCAGCTTCTACAGAGTTTGGGTTTCTTAATTAACTATGAAAAATGCAGGCTAACACCAAATACGAGCCAGAAGTTTTTAGGTTTTATGTTTGACAGCCAGACTTTAAGGTTGGAACTTCCAATGGAAAAAAGATTAAAAATAAAATCGTTAATTCAGATTTTTACATGCAAAAAACAATGTAAAATCAGGGAATTTGCTAAGTTCATTGGAGTTTTAACCTCGGCATGCCCTGCAGTAAAATATGGTTGGCTGTATGTCAAACAGTTTGAGAGGGAAAAATTTCTGGCTCTGCTACAAAATCATGGTAATTATAATGCCACCATGTCGGTCCCACACGCTACTTTATCTGACGACCTGTATTGGTGGGATAATAACATTTTGACAACCTACAACGATATTAGGCATGACACTTTTCCTATTGAAATATATACCGATGCAAGCACAACTGGATGGGGCGCCTGCTGTGGAACAGATCGGACTCACGGATTTGGTCAGAGCGGGATAAAAAACATCACATTAATTATTTAGAGCTTCAGGCCATATTTTTCGGACTAAAATGCTTTGCGCAGGATCTATCGAACTGTAACATTTTAGTACGGGCAGACAATACAACCGCCGTATCATACATTAATCGCATGGGCAGCGTTCAGTATCCGAATTTAAGCAAATTAGCCAGAAAAATATGGTCGTGGTGTGAAGAACGAAACATTTGGCTTCTTGCGTCGTATATACCTTCAGAGGAAAATTGTGAAGCAGACTCTGAATCACGGAGAACTGCTATGGAAACAGAGTGGGAGCTATCAGCAGAGGCATTTGAGTGTATCGTAAATACTCTGGGAAAACCGGAGGTAGATCTTTTCGCCTCTAGAATTAATAATAAATGTGCAAACTATGTGTCTTGGAAGAAAGATCCAGGATCCATAGCAGTTGACGCCTTTACCGTGAACTGGAACCGGTGGTCTTTTTATGCATTTCCACCTTTTTCGTTAATCCTACGCACGCTTCAGAAGATTATCCAAGACAAGGCAGAGGGTATCGTGGTAGTACCATACTGGACAGTACAGCCTTGGTACCCGTTGTTTAAAAAACTATTAATAGGTGATATAATCACTTTCAACCCCAATGATAATCTTTTGTTGTCTCCTTTTAGGAAAGAGCATCCACTCCGGAGGCAGCTTACCCTGGTTGCCGGCAGATTGTCAGCACGGCACTTGTAAAAAAGGGGGTTCCCGAATCAGCAGTGGAAACGACATTGTCCTCAATTTCGGAGGCCACAATGAGGCAGTATAACGCATCCTATAAATTATGGTGGGATTTTTGCCACAAAAGAAATGTTTCTGTTTTCAAGGCTGTTCCTAGCGAAGTTATTCTCTTTTTACAAGAACTTCTTGATAATCACCCGTTTAAATATGGTACGTTTAATTCCCACCGGTCAGCCCTCTCTCTGATTCTCCCAAACAATATAGCATCGGACACTAATTTGAAGCGATTTCTTAAAGGGGCCTCTCGATTAAGGCCGGCTAGACCCAAGTATGATTCCACTTGGGATCCCAAACCTTTGCTGAATTATCTAAGCGGTATTCCACACAAAACCTAAAACTCTTATCGATAAAGCTGGTTAGTCTTTTGGCCCTTGTGACTGGTGGACGTCTCCAAACAATTTCGCTAATTAGACTTTCAAACATTATTATCGACGAGGAAAAAATCCAAATTTTTATCTCGGACCAGATTAAGACGTCTGGTACTCTTAAAACACAGCCTTGCCTACACATTCCATTTTTTAAGGAAAATTCGTTTCTTTGTGCGGCTTCGGCATTGTTAAGTTATGTAGAAATAACTAAGCCTCTTCGGGAAAATCAAGATTTTCTCTTCATTACTTCTACAAAACCTCACCAAAAAGCATCCAAGCAAACCCTAAGTCGGTGGGTTAAAGAGGCGCTAAAAGCTTCAGGAATTGACACAAGTCAATTTCAACCACATTCTACTCGTCATGCATCGAATTCAGCGGCTTTTAGAGCAGGGGTTTCTCTAGAGCTAATTTGTCGTACTGCTGGGTGGTCTGAAAAAACCGCAACATTTGCTAGGCACTATAACCGACCATTAACCAAGAAGACTGATTTTGCCAAAGCAATCTTAAGATTAACAGACTAGATTAAGATTCGTTTCGTTTTTTGTTATGTACTTCTGTACTTATTAGGATTTAGAAGTTTTATGTTCAGTTACCAAATGTTAACTTCTGCTTATTATTGTTAAAAATCTAGGGCCACTCGATACCTAACCGTTTAGTATATTTGCACTTTTATATTGAAGTAGGTCCTAGTTAAGAAAATATATTTCTTTACGTTCTTTTAGCCTGCGGTGTTTTATTTTAATAATTAGAACAAAATCCTAATTAAAAATAGAGAAAATCGCAACAACTTTAAACAACTACATAGTAAATAATCAACTGATGTCCTGGGACCAGATTCTGAAAAATAATTAAACGATCAAACGAACTTACCTGAAGTTCGATCGTAATTATTTGATGAATCTGGTCCCAGGACATCAGTTCCCACCCATTACCCAACGCCATTTTTTGGCTGACCCCTTAGTTGCGATTTTTTCACGCATCATTTAAACAATATGAAGACGGATCGCGGAGGAAAGGAGCGACAGGAGAAAATACTTTAAACATGTGTGAGCACACGCGCCAGGGGCGGACTACATAGTAAATAATCAACTGATGTCCTGGGACCAGATTCATCAAATAATTACGATCGAACTTCAGGTAAGTTCGTTTGATCGTTTAATTATAGGTTATAATTTTGTGTCAACTTTTGTCAAATATCCTGCGTTTTGGAAGATGATGCATTTTGATTCGTATTATTACGTGTGTTTTGTGTCTTTTGAAGTCAAGTGGAGGAAAAATCGAGTGAAAATTAACTGTAGACCCAGAGCACAGTTTATGGTTAATACTCGCTGCCCAGGCAGAAAGTCTTATACACCAATGAAGTTACCATCGATAAAGTGTGTATACCATCTCGTCGTAGATAAGCGCATCTCGTATATAGTAGAAGGATCATACTAAACACATACTAAAAACTGGAGTAGCTGTAAAATATCGACATCACACGATAGGTCAATAATGGATTTTAGTACTGTAGAAAAATAATGTCAAAAGGTACTGGTTTAAAAAAATTAAGATGCAAGTTAATTAATCAACCGTTAAGGTATAAAATTTGGTGAGTGTTATTATTAATAAAATAGTTTGTTTTATTTATGTTGTTTTATCTGTCGAATATTACAAATCTGTATAGCTACATAAGTTATATTGATAAATATGCGTATATTATAATAAGTTATAATCATAAATGCGGGAAGTTTCATGAAGCTTGAAAGTAAGAAATAATTTTTTTTATATTTTTTTGGTATGTGGTGTCTTGTTCTTGTTTGTTTTGTATTAACACATACCGTTTTTTGTTAAATAAAATAACTTGATTACATTTTTTCAGTTTTATACAGTTTTTTCACAATATTTTGAAGTAGGTAATCATTTGTCAGTCAAATTTTAAATATATTAATTTCCTGCTATGCGTTCCAGTTCTACCAACTTATTTCTTTGTAAAATGAAATAAACTACTTTGAAATTAAAATGACAGACACATCTATCACTGTCAAGGATCTTGTCGTTGGACCGACTATAGCTATAAAATCCGAATAATTAGTATAAGGCTTACAAGAAAATTAAATATGACACTAGGTGACATTCTTGGTTGGAATCCAAATTATTGTAAGAACTTTTTGGATTACCAGGGCTCGAGAAAAAATGATTTCATACTTTTCTAAGATTCAAGAGGTATCACTGTACAATACCTTCCAGTTTTTTCGGTGTACAAGACAAAGATCGAGGACTAATTCCGTCCATTTGTATTTCGAAATGGAGCCGATCGCTATCGAGTGTTAACTAGCTGCCTTTTAGGGCTACCCTTCGCATTCTATTTACATTTTAAAGCGCCGCCCGGTCAAATAAAAAGTTGCCCGCTCCGCTGTCACACCTCGTGACGCTTCTAATTTAGTTCTTGCTCGTTTTTGTCGGGTCGGGTGGGGATCAAAGGCATTGCGGTAGCACGAAGATAGCAAAATATTTGGATCCTTAACCCAGTAACCACCATAATATTAGTAAATAAAATGGTGATGGTTTTTGGAACCTGTCACATGTCGCAACTGATCGTCGCATCGTCACCATTGACGATGATTGGGTGATTATAGGCAGTTATTTTATTCAGTATAAAATTCATTTTTCTGTAATTTAAATATTTTTTTCTCCATAAATGGCAGTATGAAGATGGGCTACACTAATAATGCTTATAGCTGCATATTTTTGCGCTGATATCGGAGATATTCTTAATTAAGATTTTATTTCGTATGCTTATTTTTGTTTTTTTCAGGTTCATATCTTCATAGATATCGATTTTCGAAAGAAATCAGTACATTTATTTTATTTCGTATATTTTTCATTTTATTCATTTTATGGAAAGCACTGTTCATTAAAATGTTGTATCCTATGTTATAGGGCTTGTTTCTCTCTACAATTTCCTGTCTCACAATATACCGTTTCTGTCCAGGAAGGGTTCATATTTTCATAGATGTCGATTTTCGAAAGAAATCAGTACATTTATTTTATTTCGTATATTTTTCATTTTATTCATTTTATGGAAAGCACTGTTC